AAGTCTGACATCAGTGATGATGTCACAAAGTTGTATACAGAAAGTCTAACATCAGTGGTGTCATGAGTCCTTTGATGCATAACATCAAAGGATTCATGACATCAGCGATGATGTCATCAATGTGAGTTTATATATACATGCACGTAGCACAGATTTTTCTCAGTTGATTGTAGATTTTCAACAGATACGCACCGCTTTTTCATTTTGTTGTAGTTTTTTTTAGGAATATTGCAACAACTGTTTTGGTACCATAGAATTTGGACACCAACCAACTCGAAGCCGTGCTTTAAATAAGTCTTGCGCTGAACTTTTTCGCATCCGAAACGCTCGTCCAACTTGTAAAAGAGGGAGAATTTCCTGCAGCAGACTGAGATTCCAGGTTCAGTAGATTCTCAACGAAGCGAGCAATATTTGCTGCAGCGGTTCTGCTGAAGTCTGCACCAAGCAAGTGATGGCAAAATCTAACCAGGAATGTGAGGAGTTTGTCTCCATTTTCGAACTCAGTCAGACTGGCAGACATTGTGCGTTTTGTGTGTCCGAGCAGAGAATGCTTCGGGATTTCAAACAGAAACTTGAAGACGCTCGCAGAAAGTTCGAAGATGAAAAGTTGGACTTTCAGAGAGAAAAACGAAAGTTCAATCTGCAAATCAAAGAACTGGAAGACGCAAAAATAAACCAGGCAGCCAACAAAAATAATCCAAAAACGGCTAGAAAAAACAGAACGGAGGAATTTAAACCAGACTCCAAGAATGAAAGTTCAAAGTCGTTTGAGGAGAAAAGGCTTCATTTAACAGCGTCTCAGAGAAACATGGAAGCAGCTAATGGTGAAATGAGTGAGTCACAAAAATGTTTAAACACAGACATGCAACAACTGGAGCAGCTTGTGCTCAGTTTCCAGAAGGAAAAATCAGATGTCAGAGAGTGCCAGATGAAGATGAAGAGGGAACAAACCGCCTTGGCTACGTCTCAAAAAGTCCTCGAAAAGGACACGCAGGACCTGAAGGAATTTAAACTTAGTTTGAAAATGAAAAATCAAAAGTTGATTGCGTCTCAGAAGCGTGCCGAAGAGGACAAAGCTGAACTGATGGATTTCCGGAAATTCTTGACTGAAAAACAGAAAACTCTGCAAGAGACTTCACTCAGTTTACAACTGAAAAAAATGAGGTTGGAGAATGATCAGAATAAATTAGAAACGGACAAACAGAAGTTACTGGAAGATCAGAGAAAAATAGAACCGGACAAACGGAAGATACTGGAAGATCAGAGAAAAATAGAACCAGACAAACAGAAGATACTGGCAGATCAAAGAAAAATAGAACTGGACAAACAGAAGTTACTGGCAGATCAAAGAAAAGCAGACCACAGACAAGCTGAACTTGCTGAGTTACGCGAAGACCTCAACAAGAAAATGAACTCTCTGAAAGTCTTAAGAGCCAGCTTGGAAACTGAACAAGAAGCGTTACGTGAGTCTGAAAGGATCGTAGAGGAGGACAAAGCTGAACTGCTGGCGTTCAAGAAACGGTTGAGTGAAAAACAGCAAACTCTGCGAGAGGTTTTGATCAGTTTTGAACTGGACAAACAAAAGTTGCAGGATGATCAGAAAACATTAGAATTGGACAAACAGAAGTTACTGGTCGATCAGAGAAAAGTAGAACTGGACAAAAAGAACTTACTGGAAGATCAGAGAAAAGTAGAACTGGACAAACAGAAATTACTGGAAGATCAGAGAGAAATAGAACCGGACAAACAGAAGATACTGGAAGATCAGAGAAAACTAGAACTGGATAAACAAAAGTTAATGGAAGATCAGAGAAAAGCAGGCCACAAACACTCTGAACTTACTGAGTTGCGCGAAGACCTCAACAAGAAAATTAATTATCTGAAAGCCTTAAGAGCCAGCTTGGAATCTGACCAAGAAGCGTTACGCGAGGCTCAAAGGATGGTACAGGAGGACAAAGCTGAACTGCTGGAGTCCAGAAAATGCTTTAACATCAAACTGAAATCTATGAAAGAGACTTCGCTCCGTTTAGATCAGGAAAAAGAACAATTAAAGGAGGCGCAGGAAAAATTGGTGGAAGAACAAAAGGAACTTGACGAGAACAGGAAGTCTCTGAAAATGTCTTTCCTCAGTCTGGAAAAGGAACAGCTAAATCTGACAGAGCTGACAGAGCAGAATGGATTGGCTAAAGAAGAACTGGAACTGCTCTTGTGTAAGGTGAAAACGATGCAGTTAAAACTAGACCAGAAGAAAGAAATACTTGGGAAACAAAAGAAACACCTGGATCGGATGATGAAGGATCAGAACAATGAGAAAAACATGATTTCCTTTTCCAAGAAGGTGGTGGAAGAGAAAAGTAAGAGACTGTGCAATGAGAGGAATGATTTGGAAGATCTCAGAAAGAGTTTTATTGAAGAAAGAAATAGTTTTGACAAAGAAAGGGAACATCTGGAAATGGAGAAGACCGTCCTTGAGTCCAAACTGGAAGACCTCAGCGCCAAGAACAAGAAACGCTTCAGATTCTCTGGCTTCCTCAGAAGTTTCAGTGAGAGACGACAGTCCCGTACAGAAAGTCCGAAGGGAGAACGGGATAGCCAAGTAAGTCTGTACTAGAACAAGGCTGATCTTTTCCATGTCACTTCACCTGACTGAGATCAGAAACTCATTCTCCTTCCACCTCCTCGACCTTCCACCGCTGCTCTGTTCTGCCACACCTCATCCCTGTTCTCCTCTAAATGGCCTTCCATCAACTCCATCTGTTCCACCCTCACCTCCATCCTTCCCTCCTTTCTCATCATTTCTGGAGGTTACTCAGATGAGACGCCATCAGGAAATACAGAAGCTTCACCTCCTTCAGTCACACAAATGCCTCCTCCTTCTGTTTGCCGCGTTTCAGAGGGTT